AAAGGATCACTATAGCGTCAGGAAAACAAAGTGGTTTTCCTGACACTTTAGTGCCCTGAGGGTGCCCCGACACTCAGGGTCCCCCTCCCTTGGCGCGGAAGGGGTTAAAACCCCTTCAGCAGCTTACCTTATTCCAGCGCCAGGCTCCATCGGCGCTGGTGACCTCTCCTCCCCCGTCGACGTCAGCTCCCTCTGCTGACGTCAGTGGAGCCGAATGCACATGCGCGTCAAATGCATTCAAGCTCAATGCTTTCCTATGGACGCTCTGCGTGATGGAAGCTGGCTTAACCCTACAATGTAAACATAGCAGTTTCTGTAAAACTGCTATGTTTGCATCTGCAGGGTTAAAACGTGGGGGACCTGGCACCCAGACCACTTCAACTATATTCGGGGCCAATACAAACCATTGTGTGGAAATCTATTCACAAACTTTACATAGGACACAAGGCCATGCGTTTAGACTGGAAGAAAGAAGATTTCGTCTAAGGCAAAGGAAAGGTTTTTTTACTGTAAGAACAATCAGAATGTGGAATTCTCTGCCTGAAGAAGTGGTTTTATCAGAGTCCATACAGATGTTCAAACAGCTACTAGATGCATACTTGCAAAAACAGAATATTCAAGGATATAATCTTTCAATGTATGGTAATAACTGCTTGATCCAAGGATGACTGCCATTCTGGGGTCAAGAAGGAATTTTTTCTTAGCTTGTTGCAAAATTGAGCTTCAGACTGTTTTTTTTTTTTTTTTGCCTTCTTTTGGATCAACAGCAAAAAACAAATGTGAGGAAGGCTGAACTTGATGGACGCAAGTCTCTTTTCAGCTATGTAACTATGTAACTAATAAGTGGTCTGGGTGACTATAGTGTCCCTTTAACTAAAACTGCCTTATTGGGGCAATCAATCAATTGAAACATTCATTGACATTGATGAAGTCATTTGAGATTATTAAAAACAATATGCTTCCTGTGATCATTGCCAAGTATCACTTAACCTGAATGAATAATGTGAGAGAAACAAAACAACCTCTAAGGTGTATATTTATTTCTCATGGTAAGTTAAGGGAAGTCCCAAATTGAAACAATAGCCATATGTGTTTTTAAGAATGAAAGTAGTCAGTGTCGTCAACCTGTTAAGCAAATTAAATATTTCCAGGGTTACTGAGAGTGACAAAATTTGTATTCACCCACTCATATTTTAAAATATGTAGACATTTATTATTATGTTTGATTCATAAGTAGATTATACTAAGTAGTAAGACTGTTCTTCATATCCTGCTTTATCTGATTTTGAGAACAAATCAAATACTAAAGCATTATTTCTTGGCTGTAGGAACTGCATGTTGATGAGCTTAGAACTACAACAGAACTTAGTTTATGTGATAACTTTCTGCTAGGACAATTTGATGCATTGTAAGTCATGCATATTAAATTTTTGAGCCTTGGTAAAGTGGTTCATTTTTAGCCCCAGAAGCTGCTGATGTAAGACTTGGATTAAAGGTCGAATTGTTCAAATGTAATGACAGCTATTGTTCTGATATATTTAGCTTTGAAACCCATTCAGAAGCTTGGAATTCAAAGTACAGTGCAGCTAACCTGGGGACATATTAAAAATAAAGTGCCAACTAACACCCCTTTATGATGGAGTCTTATCTTTATGAACTAAAATGTGCAATTTGAGGTTGTGCAAGATCGTGATGGTTTCTCTCCTTACACCTGCACGCAAGCTTTTTCTAATAGACAACAGACATACACTCAAGTTGAATGACGATAATTCGCTTTTACTTTATTTAAAGAAGTGTAGTAAAAAAGAAAATGATGCATAGTGACACTAAACATGGCCAGTACAGAGAGGAGACTATTCCCCACCAGTTATTATTGCAATTACAAAAAACAAAAATATTAGAATAATAAAAAAGTAACAGCTATTAATTATATAATTATATAACTATTTTTTTTAACTTTCACCTTTGAGAAGTGTCTGATCAAACATGTGAACATTTGTCCTTTTAATTATGAGTTTTGCAGTTTCACTCATCCCCCTCTACTGATGGCTCTCTATGCTAGGGTTTTGCAAGACAGAGATTTGTGGTCATTTGTGAAAAACCAAAAACAAAATATGATTAAATGTCATGAGAAACCTAATGTCCCCAAAATAAGCATGCTTTAAAAGACAGGCCTGTATACTGGCCTCTCTTTAAGGGCTGTCACAGGCTCCCAGAACTGGATGGTGGAATTCACAGACCCACGCTTTCACTGACGCAACCTTCATTTTGACTAATTTCCTCAACTTTTCCACTGCCACATGGACAGACTGGTAAGTCCCTCTGTTCCCAAGGCATATGCCTTCCATTCCCCAACACTCATTTCCCCAACTTTCCTACTCCTCTGTTTCCCTGACTTAAAAATCAGCTACATTGCGCTTCATTCATTCTGTCTAAACAAATCCCTTTTTTCTATCTTCACTTTTATAATGGACAGCAGAGAGGCACATTCCTATGTCATTGGGTACTGAAAGGTGGGGAAGCTGGGGAATATAGGAGATAAACCATGAATTGAAGGGACTTACCAGTCTATCCATATAATAGTGCGAAAGGTTTGCAACAGAGACAAAATAGAGGTTCCTGTTTCAGGTGATATAAATAAAGACACTGCAAGCTATAAGTGTATAGCAGCCATGTTTCAGGAGATACAGGAAGGAAGCACACACCCCAACAGGAAACACGTACAATAGAAAATAAACCAAACATAACATCCATAACATCTCCCTCTTTTACTATTACTAAATCAACATTGAGAAATTTGGAGTCCAAATCACTGTCCTTGTAACAACATTCTACAGGTTAAGTCGCTCAGCTGGTTATGAATGTCTGCCACTACAAGTAAAGACTGGTCCAGGTTGTGCAAACAGTCTTTTAGCCCTCTCTGAGGTTACTGGACTCTTCCCACCACTTGCTGGCATGCTTTGAGCTTGACTGTTGTCAGGTCCTGCTTGCTCAGGGCTGTCAATAGTACTAGTTTGTGGTATCACTTCTGCACACTCTTTACTGCCGACATGTGAGTGTGTCCTTGTAATACCAAGTGTGTCTGGCTTGTCAGCTTGATATTGTCTATCAGGCTTCTGGGCCACTCACAGATCCATACGATTGTGTTAGTAGAGCGTTCTTTTGATATCTACAAGATAAGAGCATGGTGCACCATTCTCTAGCGACTTGTTCGATCTCCAGGAATCGGTTTCATACAGATTTGTTCCCCAATATTCAGTTCAGGTAAATCCCTAGCAAATGAGTCATATCTTGCCTTAAACACTTGCCTCTTAAGTCATAACTTTTCTGGTACACCTTGTATCACAGAGGGTTCAAGTAGCTTGTTGGCTACTGGTAAGCAGGTCTTTAATCTCCTTGACATCAGTCTCTGTGCCGGACTACTATCCATTCCCTTGGTTGGAGTGTTTCTCCAATGTAAGGTGGTACGGGTCTTTACCATCACTTTTATCTTTTTTGCACAAATTCTTCACTATTTTCACAGTGGAATCAGCTTTGCCATTAGCTTGTGGATGACATGGTGAAGAAGTCACATGCTGAAACTCCCATTCAGTGGCGAATTTCCTAAACTGTGAGCTTGCAAACTGAGGACCATTATCAGAAATCACTTTAGCTGGTTGGCCATGATGTGCAAATTGCTCCTTGCATCACTTAATTGTAGTTTCAGTGGACAGGTCAGGAAGCAGTTCAATTTCTCAGAAGTCTGAGTAATGATTGACTAAGAGCAGGTACTCTTTTCCAGCATAGTTGAATTGGTCCATGCTGACAATCTGCCAAGGACGTATAGATATCTCATGTGACATCAGGGTTTCTTTTTGTTGCAAGTGTGCATATTCATTGCAAGTGGGACACATGCTGACAAAGTCTTTGATTTCACCTTGCATGTTGGGCCAGTAAAGAGTATCACAAGCTTGTTTGTAGCAAGCCTCACCTCAGTATGCGCAATAACATCTCTGCATTCAGCAACTTTGGCACTATGACCCTTGGACATTTGTACAAGTTACCATTTTGTATGCTGATTTTATCTCTGAAGGACCAATATTTCATCACGATTGCAAGTGCTGCATCCTTTTTATCTGGCCACCCCATTAGAACTATAGACTTCTGGTCTGCTTGATTGACTTTGGCAAAGAAATTTTATTCCTGCTCCAGCAAAAAAACTGCAAGATGCTAATGCTCACCTCCAGGTGCCGCGTGTTCCGTTGTAGGTCTGCTTAGGGTGTCACTGATGTACATTTCACATCATGGCTTGTACACAACATTGAGGTTGTAATTCTGCAATGTAAGCATCATGCTCTTTAAACGCTTTGGAGAACACATCATACAAACAAAAATAGGTGGTACAAATGGTATACTTTCCTCTCTTCTTGATATATCTATATATATATATATATATATATATATATATATATATATATATATAGCTTTGGAGAACATAAATGCAGCTTCTTCAGTATGATTATTAGCGGTCTGTGATCCATTTTTAGCTATGATTTCTTCCCAGCCATAGAGATAATGATGGAAACACTGACAGGCCATAACAATGCTTAAACATTCCTTTTCAATTTGAGCATACTTTTGCTCAGCTTATGAGAATGCTCTGGATGCAAATGCAACTGGCTGACCTTCTTGCAATAGACAACATCCTAGGCTATTTTTGCTTGAGTCACTTTGTATTGCAACAGGCTTTTTCACATCATAATATTTCAGCACTGGGGCAGCTGTGATCAAGTGTTTTATTTCCTCCACTGCCTGGTCATGCTTAAGAAGCCAATGTCAAACTGCTCACACACCTCAGACAAATGCGGCATAAATTTTGCTAGGTATGTGACAAAGCCAATAAAACGCTGCACTTTGGTGTCACCAGGCTGTTGCATGTCCACAATGGCTCTAATCTTATCTAGGTCAGCTTTTAAGCCTTGTTGAGACAGGATATGTCCATGGAAGCGGACTTCTTGTACCTTGAATTGTAGTTTCTTTATGCTGAGTCTCAGCATTACTTGCCCGCAGCGACCCAATAATGCTAATAGCTTCTCATCATGGTCACGCTCAGCTTCCTCATCTGTATTACCATAGCCAGTTATAAGACTGTCATCTGCTATTGGTGCTGGTGGTTCTTCCAGCTTAGCTGTTGCTTGAAGGCTGCATGAATGCTGTCAGTCTGTTTATCCTGCTCCTTAGCTCTCATATGTTTGTCAGTAAGTTCTGCAGTGCGACATATCTCAATTGCCACGTGTATGTTTATATCATGTTCCCTTAATAGGCAGCAGGTGCTTTCAGTATTAATACCTTTAACTATTTTGTCATAACATAGTTCATCTCTCAAGGAGTCATACTCACAGCTTGCAGCTTTTTCTCTTAGTCTTGTGACAAAGTTGTCTATTGCTTCACCTTGTTCTCCCTTACAGCTGCCTAATATATATCTTTCATATATTACGTTGTTTGCAGGTCTGAGGAAAGCTTCTAATGCATCAACGATGGCTTTAGTGCCATTATTTTGCTTTATAATGCTTGTAAACATGGTAGCACTCACTGCCCATCACCCTCCTCAGTGTGGTTGCTTCTACTGCTGCAGGCTTCTTAATCAGCCCTTTAGCTAGGGAGTAACCCTCAAACTCAGCTCTGACGTTATCCCAGTTACTGCTGCAATCCCCACTCGCCCTCATTGCCTCGGGTAGTGGAATGCCATTAGCAGCTGCCATGATGCTTGTTTACCTGCTTCCAATGCTCAGCTTGCAGGCCAGTAGTAGCTGTAATTGCTACAGGAGGCACAATCACTTGGCATCAAGTATATAAGAGCTCCTGGCATCAAGTATATAAGAGCAGACCAAGTTCAGATACTTCTGACACCATGTTTCAGGTGATATAAATAAAGACACTGCAAGCTATTAGTGTATAGCAGCTATGTTTCAGGAGATACAGGAAGGAAGTACACGTGCAATAGAAAATAAACCATAGAGTTAGTTGCATGTAAGCCAAACATAACATCCATAACACAGCCTGCCTCCCTTTCAGAATCACATTGGACAGCCAAGTTGAAGCTCCAGAACTGCAGACACATGTGAGGGACACCGGCACTACAATGGGAAGCTGGACTCCAGACCCTGTCTCAGCCTGAAACATAGAAACATAAAATGTAATGGGAAAATAAGAATTGTTTAGCCCATCTAGGCTGCCAAATTGTCTAAATACTTTCATCAGTGCCTAGCCTTATTTTAAGTCTAGCATGTCACCAACAGCCTAGTAAAGTAAAGCTTGGTGAGCTTTACTACAGAGGTTAACTGGAAGATAACACGGTTGTTTCTAAGAAACCTAAAAGCTGTAATCCTTTCAGTTAAAGTCTACACTAAAATGCAGTCTGTTGTATTTTTGTAGTTCCCTCACACTGGGAGGGGGGGGGGGGGACATTTTCCATTTCCCTCCATTTTTTATTTATTTGTTTACTGTATTATTAATATTTTTAGGGTAATATTATTGTCTGCTGCTTTAGACCTTCTGCCCAATAGATGACACTAATTCAATTTGAGGGTTCAGCTTAATACCTTATATGAGGATACTATTAGGTTTATCCACTAAGCTCCAAACTGCAGTGAACTGAAATACAAAGTTATAGTTATATCCATCTATAAGTTGAAGAAATAAATCCATATGTTTCATATGTTAACTGAGGGGACAAACTCAAATTACATGGGTGGAGTCTAGCACACACCAACTTAAAATGTCACCAGCCGCAACAGCAAGCTGGACACGTTTTTCATCTACAAAGAGACAACTAATTCCTTCTAATTCTGATTCCAATTTCCTGTGCATCTGGTTGCACAATAAAACCTCCTAGCACACCACTACTTCTGGAGTATATATAAACTTTTCGACACTGCATGACACTTGACACATACTATCATCCATCTTAACCAGGCCATCTGCACCAAAGTTGCACTTTAAAATGAGCTAAAACCTCATGAGATACCAAATATGTACTGGAAGGGAAAGTCGCAGCTTAAGGACACAAACCCATGTCACGTATATGAGAAGATTTAGTTCAATTATATTATGAAAGTCAGTGATTCACAATCACAAATTAGGCAATAGTTGCGTGATAACATCATTTAAGTGGTTGCAATAGGTTTTCCTTTTGTTTTGGCATATAATAAACATAGACCAATCAATCATTCAAAGTTAACTGTTCTCTTGACATGTAACAGAAGCAGTTAACTGACCTTATATTCTGTTATTTGGAATCTGCATTTGGAACACTGCTTAAAACAAATAACTCATATTTTGAAGACATTTAATTTCCTTAATATATGATCCTTTCCTGATATCTTTAGGCAAACTGTATTTTATAAGGAAATTATGATATAATTTTCTTTTAGGAATCGTAAAACATATGTTATGGTCATTTAGGGTCCTTGTTTCTATTATGAATAAGTCATATATTTACCCTTAAATCTCCATTGTAAGGCTTATCTAAAATGCATTTTATGTAGGATTTTCTCTAGGAATTTGCATAAAATTGCTATATCTCAATGTAATAGCACTAATATTAATCTGAAGAAGTACAGCTTACTATTGTTTAAAAGTACAGCTTACTATTGTTTGAACTTTTTTGCTTCTTTATATGAAATTACTTTCTTCTGTTTCATGGCTAAAATTGGCATACCAAGCATACCTACAGTGTAATTAAACGTAACATTAAAGGAGCACTATAACATTATAGTGCCCTAATCATCATTTAGGTTGATTGATGATCTCACCCAATCAAATGCTTTCCCATAGGAAAGCATTTGGATGTTTTTGCGCATGCACAGCAAAACGCCACACTTGACCAGTCAGATGGTCTCAATGAGGCTATCTGATAGAATTAGTGAAATTTTATACATCATGCTGACAGCCACTACAGGCATTTCCTGCAGAATAGCAATGTTTTCAGCTGCTGTGCTACAATATGGTCACATGGCACCCAGATCACTTCATTGACATGAAGTGATCTGGGTGCCTATAGTGTTTCCTTAAGTGCTTTATTCTATTGGGGGGAAATTTTTCTAAAACCATATTTTTACTTTATGTGTGCCAATTCTTCCCTTAATATATGCTGAGAAACAATATCAACGTAAGAACATGAAGTGGGTAACAGAACGTAACAGAACCTTAAAATGATATTGCAGTGGTTTTTGAGCATAAAAATGTAATCAGCATATAAAATCAAAGGAAATATATAATTGTTGGAAAAGCAAATTCATGTTCGATGAATAACATTTTATTCATCCTGTCTCGGTTGGAGTTCCCCAAAGCTCTGCCCTTGGTCCCCTTCTATTTTTTCTTTATACTGCCTCTCTTGGCAAGCTTATTACCTCTTTTGGATTCAACTACCACCTGTACGCTGATGACACTCAGATATACCTCTCCTCCCCGAACCTCTCCCCTGCTGTCCTGCAACGTGTCACTGCTTGCCTTTCTTCCATCTCTGACTGGATGTCCTCACGCTTTCTGAAACTCAATCTCTCTAAAACTGAACTCCTTGTCTTTCCTCCTCCTAATACTGATCCTCCTCTCTCGCTCTCCCTTCAAGTCAGTGATATCCACATAAGTCCATCCTTGCAAGCACGCTGTCTTGGCGTCATACTTGACTCTGGCTTCACCTTTGAGCCTCACATCCAGTTTGTTGCCAAATCCTGTAGGTTCCAACTCAAAAACATAGCCTGCATCCGCCCCTTTCTTACGCAAGATGCGACCAAAGAGCTTGTCCATGCTCTAGTAATTTCCCGCATGGATTACTGTAACCCTCTCCTGATTGGTCTCCCCAAAAGCCGTATTGCCCCGCTACAGTCTGTAATGAATACTGCAGCTAGACTGATTTTCCTCTCTAGTCGGTCCTCTCACACATCACCCCTCTGCCAGTCCTTACATTGGCTCCCTGTATCCTATAGATGTCAATTCAAAGTGCTAACCCATACATTTAAAGCACTGAACAATTCTAGCCCCTCTTATATCTCCTCAATGATCCATAGGTATGCCCCTCCTCGTTCCCTCTGCTCTGCTCATGACCACCTCCTGACCGCTGCTCGCACCCGTACAGATAACTCATGCTTGCAGGACCTCTCGCAGGTGGCTCCTTTCCTTTGGAATAGCCTGCCTACCGCCATCAGACTCTCCCCTAGTCTTCAATCATTTAAGAAGAGCCTTAAAACCCATCTCTTCAGGAAAGCTTATGGCCTCCCTGAGTAACCTCTACCTTACATACCTGTCTCTTGCTCTCTCTACCTTCTCCTCCAGCTCTGCTTCACTCCCACCCTATTTGATTGATATTTCCTGTCAGAACGTGTCTTATACCCCACCTCCTATAGACTGTAAGCTCTATCGTTCATGTAAGCTCTATCGAACTTATCTTTCCTGAAAGTATTCTTGTAATTGTCCTATTTATAGTTACATCCACCCTCTCATAATATTGTAAAGCGCTACGGAATCTGTTGGCTCTATATAAATGGCAATAATAATAATAATAATAATATTGCAAAATCAAAACCAAAGCACTATATAAACTATCAAGTTGTTGCCATGGTATTTCTTTGATGATTGAAGACTAGAGATACATTATAGAAAAAGTGGTGTAAACTGAAGTGAGAGGCATTGGACCAATTTATGTTTTTCCTTTACTAGTGATCACATAATACACATTTGTGTATCACATGCACACATTTGTTCAGCCATATTTACATCTTTTTTGTTTGGTGTTTTTGACAGTGTATTCAAATTTTGTTTCATCTTATTGAAAGTATGTTACTTTTTAACCATTTTTGGTGTTATTGGCAGTGTATAATGAGTGTTTGTGTACCTAACTGCTTAAGGGTACACTATAGTGTTAGGAATACAAACATAAATACCAGTTTAGGTTTCTGGGCCTCCTCAAATTGGAGTTAAAATGTGTTTAAACTGATCTTGCAGTGGCTGGCCAGGCCTCCATAGCTGAGATCATGAGTCTTGGTTGCCTATAGGCGTAGATTGCCTATAGGCATCTACTGTGTATCACAATGACTCTTAGTACATAGTTACATAGTTACGTAGCTATGTAACTATGTAGCTGAAAAAAGACTTGCGTCCATCAAGTTCAGCCTTTCTCAAGTTTGTTTTTGCTGT